TGAGGTTGCAGCTGAAGCCTGAAGCCCTTCCAGGCAGGATTCGATCTGCCCTCAGGGACCTTGGTCTCTTCCTCTGAGGTCCTTCAACTGCTTGGGTAAGGCCCACCCTAACAACCTACTTTACTCAACCTCGATCCATTTCAGTGTTAATGTTTGTTTTATTTATTTATTTTTTTGAAACAGAGTCTCACTAGGTAGTCTAAGCTGGCCTCAAATTAATGCTGATCTTCCAGCCTCAGCCTCCTGAGCACTAGGATTATAGTCATGGGCCACTACTCTCATGAATCTCATTTTTAAAAAATAATCCCACAGGTCCGGCCAGATAGCTCAGCAGACTAAAGCGCCTGCTTAGGCAGCCCAGGGACCTGAGATCCCACACGTGCTGTGCCAGCCCTGCCCCCAGGGTGCACTGGGGCTGGGTGACTGAGATTGGGCGTGGTGGCACATGCCTGTAATCCCAGCTCTTGGGAGGCTGAACACAGGTGGAGCACTATGAGTCTGATCTATGTAGTGAGACCCTGTAGACCCTGTACTAAATACATAAAAAGTACTCCCACAAGCCAGAGATGTAGCTCAGTGACACAAACACCTGCCTAGCAAGCACAAAGTCCTGAGTTCAATCCCCCATAAACCCCCAAAAAAGAAATATACCCACAGAACAATAAATAAATAGACATCCTCCCGTGGCATGACTTGAGTCTGATTTTGACCAAACAGCCGGGCCCTGCAGTTCGCCATCACAGGAGGGCAGCTGGCCACTGAGATTGGAGCAGCCAGAGGCAGGCGATCCCAGGACACGCGGGAGAGATGACAGGGAAACAGGCAACAGGGGCTCCATCCTGCCATGGCTCTTGGGGGCCTGCTGGCACAGAGGCCAAAAAAGACCAGGTCTACTGACTCCTGCCAGGGGTGCTTGGGAGAGCAGTGACGGGTGCTGCCAAGGGTGCTCTGTGCCTCCAGCCTCCGGTGGGAAGACGTGTGGCACTGGTCACTTCCACCTCATCCATTCCCCACCTTTGTGTCCCAGCCCTCCCACTGAAAGACTTTTTTTTTTTCCTTTTTGGTACTGAGCATTCAACCCAGGGCCTTTGGACTGAGCTACACTTCCAGTTCTTTTTACTCTTACTCTTGGAATCGCTAAAACACAATGTTACCCAGGCTGGGCTTAAAATTGAATCTTCCTGCCTCAGCCTCCCAGAGTGCTGGATCTAAATCATTTGCCACCACACACAATTCTAGGGAAGACTTTTGAGCTCACAAAGCTGAGGCAGAGGAAAGGACAGCCTTCAGGTCCTTGGTGCCTCCCCAGACAGCTTGAGCTCCCTCCCCTGTCTGATCCTCCCCACGCCTCACTCATCTGTCCTGTCCTTGTGTGACCCTTGCTGGGGGTGCAGGGGGGCCCTGTCAGGGATGATGAGGGGCAGCTTTGACCAGCAGATGGAGGGAGGCAGAGACAGGAACAGAAGACAGAGAGGTCGGATGCCAAGAGGGAAGCCAGACACTCAGGGAGGCGCTGGGAGTCAGTGATGTGGCAGCAGCGGAGAGCAGGCTCGCTGCCCCTCGGGGAGGGATACGGAGCGGCAGGGGTCAGGAAGAGATGGCGACACAGGTGGCAGTGACAGCAGAGACATGGGAGAGGAAAGGGCAAGCCTGGGAGACCCAAAGACCAGAGGGCTGCGGCAGAGGAAAGCGACCCAGACAGAAAAGACAGGGCAGGGGCAGCCTCGGGAGATAGGGAGAGGGTGGCGGGTCCCCGTGGCTCTCCCCGCCATGGCCTGGGCTGGTGCTCCCGTGGCCTCTGAGGGCCATGGCTAATGGTATGGTTGCTTGGCAGGCAGAGGGGAGGGGACGGCGGTGACAAATGAGCCGCGAGTCAGGGTGGCCTGACGGATGGCCCAGCAGCAGCAGCGGCAAGGGGGTAGGGAGGGAGGAGGACCTGAGATAAATGTTTCCTTCTCCCGGAGCCAGCCCAGGCAGGGGAGGGACGAAAGGGACGCAAGCCATGTCTCTACTGAAGGCCTGGGTGGCGGGATGCAGGGGGTGTGGGGCCAGAGACCGGTGAGCTGGAAAGCAGAGAAAACAAAGAGGCAGATATAAGAAAGGAGGAGGAGATGGACCCTGGCCCAGGCATCGAGAGGCCCAGGAGGTGCCCCTTCCCCACAGCCAGAGCTCAGCCACAGCCTCAGGCATGTAGGGGGGAGGGGCAGAGGCCCTCAGCGCTGTGGACAAAGGGGAAACTGAGGCCGACAGCAACAGGAAGGAGGGGGAGATGGAGGGGCCCTGAGCAACAGCTGTTCCTACAGCTGTGGAAAGTGGATCCTGGGGCTTCTGGGGACCCCAGGAGACAGCGGCTGCTGGAGGGGCCTAAGCTCAGGTGGGAGTGAGGGGGACAAAAGGGTGCTGCCTAAGTGGGCAGCCTGGGGCTTTCCCGAGGGTGCAGTGGGGGTGGCAGAGGGTGGCCTCTTTCCCAGCCCATGTGCATCTCCAACCAGGTGGAGGGCAGCACAGGCCCAGCCGCTTTTAGAGCCCACATGGAAGCCCCTGGCCAGTGCCCATGGAGAACCCCACTCAGGCCAGGCCTGTGCCACCTGCCCTGCCCTGGAGACAAAGGTCTAAGGACTGAGTAAGAGAACTGGGCTCAGGAGGAGGGAGACAGGTAGGGTGTGTGTGTGTGTGTGTGTGTGTGAGAGAGAGAGAGAGAGAGAGAGAGAGAGAGAGAGAGAGAGAGACTAGGCAACGGCCACCTCCCCGTCCTCCTGTCCCAGCCTCCTCCATCCAGGTCCTCCAGGGACGCACCCTTTTCATTCATCACAAAGCTTTACACCCAGGCCACACCCTGCTGCTCCTGTGTGGGGGCTGCAGGGTCTCTGGCTCTGAGAGCAGAAGCCAGAGACCCTCTGCTCACCCTCACCAGGACAAGGCCAGTCCCAAGAGGACACTGTGTTCAGAGTCAGCTAGGCAGAGGCAAGGGACCTCTGTACCCCCGTGCACATCAGAGCTGAGCTGTACAGCAAGGCCAGGACCCCAGACTCCTGGAGATCGGGGGAGGGCAGGCAGAAGAGTTGTTCGTCTTTAATTAAATTGACTTAAATTAATTTTCTGCTCCAAAACTCCAGTGTGAGGGGTGGTGCACATCAGGGATCGGCCCCACCACACACACACACTGCAGACCCTTCCTTAAAGGGCCAGCACCTCCAGGCCCCCAGGCCCAAGCTTGCCCTCTGTTATCTGCCCTGCAGGACAGAGACAGAGACGGGCTGCAGAGGGCAAGGCCTGGCTGAGCTGTGGCCAGGCCAGTTCCCAGGGAGCCATGAGTCTGGCCACTGTTGGCTTGGCTTTGTGCAGGCTGGAGGAGGCAGCAGGGAGACAGACAGAGAAGGAGCTCCAGGGACAAGACACCAGCAGGGAAGCCCCAGAAAGCCTGTGTGTGAGAAGCCCCGAGCCCTGAGGAGAATTAGGCCTGTGTCCCTTTCTGTCCCCCCACAACCTTCACTAGCCCACCCTGGGAAGAGCTTCAGCCACAACCCCCAACCCCTGAGTCACTCCTACCTGCTCCCGGGCCTGGCTGGGGAGGTGATAGTGGCCCCTGCCCTCCGCGATTCTCTTCCCCTCTCTGTGTCCCTGTTCTCCTCTGCCTGGGTCTGTGTCTCCCCTCCCAGGCAACTCACAGGTCCCAGGCCACGGTGACTGAGGACTGTCCCTGTGCAGTCCCCAAACGTTTTTACTCGTACCACTGCAGCGCTTGCCGCTCCCAGCAGCACGCCTGCTCACTGGATTCCTCCTTCCTCCTCCCAGCCTGAGGGCGCCCTGAGCACCTTGCGGCCAAGAAGGAGCTTTCTGGCTCCTGTCATGTCTGTAGAACACATCACCTAGCACATAGTAGGTGCTCAGGAAATGACACTGCACAAACCCTTGACTTTATCTTACTGGAATGCTCGCTTCAAAGCTATCTTGGGGTCAGGTAAGCGCTGTGGGCGCCTCCTCAACACACACCTAAGTATAGTCACACTTTCCCAAGTCGGCGGCAGGCCGTGGCCTCCCCGACAGCAGCTGCCGGAACTTCAAGGCTAAGGACCCTCTAAAGGCAGGCGTCAGGCACGCAGAGGGATAGAGGGATGTACACACACGCACACACACACTTGCACACGCACATGCGGGCACACTGCCCTTATCTCCCAGGAGAGAGGGAGGGAAGGGAGCCAGGACAGGAGGAGAAACTAAAATGTAGGTCTCTGATCCTGTCTCACAGAGAGGGAAACCATGGAGACCGGGCAAGAGCGGAGGGGGAAGCGAGGCGAGGAGGGGACAGGGTTAGTTGTATCTTGGGAGCCTCGAATACAAAGGCCATGGGGTGAGCAGCTGCGGGCCAGAGGCGCAGGGGCAGGCAGAGGGGGAAGGGCGAGGACAGCGAAGGAAGGGGAGGAAGAGGAGGGGAGGGGAGAAGATGGGCGGCGGGGGAGGGGGAGGGGAGACGGGGAGGGGCCGGCGGAGGGGGAGGGGCCGAGGCGGGAAGGAGGCGGGGCTCTATGGGCGGGGCCTGGTTAGGGGCGGGGTCGCAGCGTCTGCACCGCCTCGTCCCCGCCCGCCCCGCCGCCGGCGGACAGCGGGTTAAGCATCTCCGCTCCTCCGCTGTGGAACTTCCGGATGTGACCACAGAGGAGCAAGCGGGGAGCGAGCGGAGGAGACGCGAGGGAGGGAGCTGCCGGTCCAGGCTGGGAGCCGCCCCCGC